AGATTTCATTTGTGTTAATATTGAATTGAAGTATATTTTTGAAAAGTAATAATAGGTTTGAATCGATTTAAGATGATTTAAGCATCAAATATATTTAAACATATTTTAAATATCAAATGATAGAAAAGAAGTTTTCCTACTTTTCTTTTGCTTTGATAGTATCGTAGTGTAGGGTTAAAACTGAAAATCATGACCTTGGATGTGTTATAGTAACTCCACTGAGACGTCACTTCATCTAATTCAAGGTGGGGCCATGATAATACATCAAAGGTTTTGATTTCTTTATTTCAGTGCGGCGCTATGACATTTTTCATAGCAAATGTGGTTTCTTTACTAGGTGGGATGCCACTAAATGGGCAGCGTCGGCGTGTACCATATTGGTCTTGTGTGGCTTCCATGGAAATGTCAGTCTGCTAGTTGATAGCCGCTGAATTAGCTGAATTAATTGATTAAGCAATTAAGTAGCTCGTCCCCAGTTTCAAAACTGAATTAGCTGAATACTTGGGGGAGAAGTAGCTAGCCATGCATATATATGAGCAACATGTTATTAAGCAATTAAGCAGCTAGCTAGCTAGCTGATCCAGTAGACTCCAACTGTCAAATTGGTTGTATAAACCCTTGGTGATTCATTTGACAGTAGTGATTGAGATGGTCTACCTAAGTAGATGTGTTCTTGGTCCAAGTAATTCTGGGGCCCATACAGTTTGTAGTATCAATCTATCATGGTGGTTGGATCAAACCCATCTGATGGTGATGAAGTTGGTGGTTAACCCTGTTGGGGGGGCCATTGCTTAATTATATATCCACTAGTCTTTGTATCAAATCCTCTCTTGGGCATCTGATAGCGATCTGTGCTTCTTGTCATTTGTAGCATATTTTGTCACATCCAGATCTTCTAATGGCTGTCACAAACGCCAGCTTATATTGGTAACAATGGTGGCTGGTGCATTGATTATTTACTTCTGAATCAAGCCCTAAAGTCTTGCTTCCACACGACTCTCATTAGCCTTGGTAATTAATCTGGGAGATGGGCCCCATGTGCGTGATTATTTATATTCAAAGCCCCCAACAAGTTTTAATTAAGGCACATCCTTTTTTTTTTGATAAATTAGGCAAATTCTTGGTGAAAAGACAAAAATAAAAATAAAATAAAATAACATTTTGTGATAATAAATAAATCAAAACATATAGAGGGATTTTTTTTTTCTTTTAAAACAGCCCAAATTAATCATGATTTGTACTCTTTTAGTCTTGAGTAATGATTCAAAAAGGGGTTATGGGGTGTGCCCAAATCAATCCCCTCATTTAAGGCATAAATGAGAATTTTGGTTGTCAAGAAACAGTGATTGATTGACCCTTAAAAAAATAGGTTTGAAGCAATTAATAAGAGGCATCCTTTATCTATCACCATATAGACTAATTAAAAAAGGGGATATGGGGTGTGCCCAAATCAATCCCTCATTTAAGGCATAAATGAGAATTTGCTTGACAAGAAATAGTGGTTTGATTGAGCCTTCAGAGAAACAGATTTGAAGTAATTAATAAGAGGCACCCTCTATCTTTCACTATACAGACTAATTCATTGACCAGGAAATTTTAATTAGGCCACATTCCATTGTTGATAAATTGGACTAATCCCTAGTGAAAACACAAAGAAACCATTTTGTTATAACAAACAAGTCAATATCCCCTAAACAAGACAATGTACTCTTTACTCTTGAGTGATGATCATTAAGGGTGTAGTACCCCTTTATCAAAATTCAAAAAATAAAAAGTGCAAGGGGATGTGCCCAAATCACTCCCCATCAGTTAAGGCATAAATGGCAATTTTGGTTTACAAAGAAATAGTGATTGATTTAAGCCTTAAAAAATCAGGCTTTAATTGGATGAGTGTCATGGTCACAGTCATAGTCGTTAGTTGTCATCATCATCAGTTTCTTGAACCACAATAGAAAATAGGTTGATAGGGCTTGTGGCTTAAATTTGTGACATCTACATTTGGATATCCACGTGTTCAAGAAATGATCCACATGTCATTACATCCACAGATATTATATTCCCACCATTCACAACCACATGACTTTTTTTAGGTAATCAGGACTTGAGACTCACACCAACAAATTATGGCAATATCACAGACAGCTAGCTAATGGCCACATTCAATATAATTCAGCTCTGAATTCATTGTGTTACAACTGCAATCATCTTGTTCATCAACAAAATTGCAGCAATTAATCCCTTATGACATGTTATTCTCCTGTCTAGCTCTATTTGGGTTTAATTTCATCAGTTGATTTCTTCACATAGAGACTTAATTAATTCAACTTAGAAAAAAATTTATCACACCATCACTTAAGAAACTAATTACCTACCATTCTCCCCCTGGACCCCCTCTAGAAAATCACATAACTTTGGACTCTTTTAACTCCATGTAAAGGGTCCATGATGATTAACAAACCAATTTCACTCTAAAGCCTGAAATAATTCAGATATATGGTTTCAATTCTTTTTTTTTTTTCATTTAACCCTGTTTGGTGTGTTTTTTCGAGTGGATTGTCAGTTTTTTAGAAGCCTGATAACTTATTTTTCGGTCTTTTTCCATTTAGTTAAGAGAAGATCTTTTTATCGAAAGACTGTGCCCTAAAAAGGCACGAAAAACTCAATTTTAAGCTTATTTCAGAAAGCTAAAATTTTGGATTTTCTTTGCTTGATCAAGTCTTATCTTTATGCGAAAAGATGCATCTCTAACCAAAAAATCTTTAGGCTGACAAAATTGTTATATAAAAACTCACTATTCCTTTTGGTTGTCAGATTTTTCAGAAAAAAAAAAAGACTTACCAAACATACCTTAATTTACATGGGAATGGCTTATTTTCCACACGGGGCAATTGGCGTTAGACCCTACCCTAGGTGGTTGCTCAGACGAATAACTGTCTATTGACTTGCGGGATACTGTTAGTGTTTGAAGTTCATGGAGCTTGGCTATTGATCTCTGTCACGTTAAACGTCCAATCAATACGTAATCGTTACTCCAAATTCCAAAGCTAGCTGATGCATCTGTTACAGAAACTGGTTTGAAATTCATCCATCGTTTCAACGAATTAATGTTCAATGCATCGAGGAGAAGGATTCGTTATCTGTATTAAATCATCAACTGTTGTCGCCTTTTTTTTATCTCAGATTATAATATGTGAATGTGGGTAGTTATAAAATTCATGAAAACACTATTGGATCATGTTTTTCTGTGTTGGGTTTTGTAAATTTATGTTGCTTGTAAGTGGGATAAGGAAAGATGGAGGGATGTAAGCTGCGAGTCCAAGGCAGCCATGTGACTCTTGTCTTGATGATGCTCTGAGAACAAAGGAAAGAGCGAGACAGCAACAAAGGCTTTGCTGGTTACTACTCATGATGTTTCTATTTTTAATGGAATTTCCCTTCTCTTCAAATTGGAGCCACATGAATTAAGGATCGATCTATCACTAGTTTTAGTATCAGTATCATGATCCAATGGAAGCGCTCTCATGGGGTAAACCCTATGTGTTTATCACTGGTTGGGCTGAACTACAAGAAGGGTTTGCACCCAAAGAGAGCGGGTTCGTTGGATCACAACTCTATCAATATTATTGATCAAAGAATGAGTGTTGAGAGATAGCTCAGTATTTGAATGAAATAAAAGCAACAAGATATGATAGGAAGGAAACTAGTACAGAAAGTCACGATTTCGTTGTCATTTCAAGACCAACGAAAAGGGCTTTTGTTGGTTTCTCATAAATGGCCAAAACAGAAACAGTGAAGGAAGCCTTATCAGCTTGTGTACTTTTCAGATATTTCACATTAGGAGGGTCACGAGTGCAAAAGAAAGCTTGTGAGAAGATTAAGAGCTAGCTCTCAAGTCTCAAGACTTGAATGAATGAATGAATGGCCAAGAAGAAACAACAATCTGGTTTAGCTATCTAGATAGCTCTTTCTTTTCTTCCAAGTTTCAACTATCCCCCCAAAAGAACCTCTTTAATTTCTCTCTTAGCTTCCATACTTTCTTGTTCAACGCACCCTGCACTTACTCTTTCTAAAAATTCTGTTTCTGCTCTACCCAATTTCTTTTCAAAAACCCATTCACATTCAACAGAAAACTCTAGTGTAAACATGATGCTTACTCTTTCTAAATTCTATTTCTTCTCTACCCATTTTATTTTCAAATACCCACTTACATTTAACAGATGCTTTGTAGTTTGCAACTTTGCATTGCCTCTCTCTCTCTCTCTCTGAGTAATATTAATAAAAAAAGAAAAGTACATATTTGTAACAAGAAGACATTAATTTATGGAGGAGGACCTCCAAAATACCTTCAATGAACCTGAAAAAGGTGGCATCCTGAGGTACCATGAACCCCCTTTGGCCATACGAGACAGAAGTGCAATCAATTCTCCTCAAGAATCCCAAAACAGCAATGAGGGTGCAACTTCTCCAAGAACCCCAGTGTGACACAGATAAACCCTACAGGCCCTACAAACCCTACCCTATAAAGGAAACTTGGTTCCAACGACACCCCCATCAATCTAAAACTGCTTTCCATGCTCACCCATATATCAAAAGAATATGATATGATACTAATCGCCCCTTTCTTTATATTTCTGCAACAAATTACCAGAACTTACTGTAAGTTCATGGTGACAGCTAGTTATTTCAAGATTCGAAAGCCAACATGAATTCTTCTTCAGCTTTCTGGGTTACAGTTAAAAAAGGAAAAGAAGGGTCGATCATATCCTAGTTGTGGTAACCATTGTACTTCTGTTCAGGTCGGTGGATACAATGGAAACAAATTAAACCCCTAAACCCATTAAGTTAGAGAAGCTGTTAGCTGAATTAAGGATTAATCAATGTTTCCTCTTACAGAACTAGCTAGTGATCAGACAGCGATGAGATAGTGGTTCATTATAAGTCTTGGTTATCGTTTAATACTTTGATTCGATCATCTGAAGACACAGCGCAAGCCACAGAAGAAATTGAATAAAAACTCTTGGAAGGAAAGCTCGAGAGAAGATCGAAGAATTTAAATTTTAAAGCTAGGTACTTGTGATTAAGGAAACTGGTCGGTGACATGCACACACGTTAACAGAATACAGTCTGTTTTCTTCACTCATCAGCACATTACATCCTTGAGAAGCTTGTACCTGCGTGTAGTATGCCTTGGAGAAGGAGCGCTACCCGGGCTTTTCCCCTTGTCGGAACTGTCTTCTCGTTCGAGTTGCTTGATCTTGTCCCCGGAATAGTGAGACCTGCTCGTCGTTCCGGCGTCGTTTCCGACCAACTTCTTCGATGAACCGCCATGCCTTGCACTCTTCTCTTCGCTCTGGCACCAATCGCACAATTCATTGGCTTCCGAGAATTCGTTGTAGTAGTTGCTGCAGTACCTGTGGATTTGCAGAAACACTTAGCTAACTTGAATCTAGTGATGTGGGAACTACAGTCCCCACGGTAATAAGACTGGTAATAATACCAGAAAACTAAGATCACTATTAACCCAAAGACTATGGCGATGATGGTGGTGGTGGTGGTGGTGGTAAGTATGACTTTGGTTGGCAATCAGTCCCTGACGATCTACGGGATCCTGATGGAATAATGATGTTGGTAGTTGAGGACTTAAGGCGGTGTTTATGATGATGGGTGTGATTGATGATGATATGTAGGATAAAATTCATTGATGGGCGTCGTCTGTGAGTGATGAAGAAAATGATGATATTTGTTTATCAGAGATTGGGATGATGGTGATGATGATGAAATTAGGACCCGATGACGATGAAGATGAAGCCCTTACGAGTGCTGAAAACGATGGCGGCATCTGATGCAACGGAAGAGCTTGTCGGAGAAACCGACATCGCCGCACATGCAACAAACAGTCTGGAGATCCACCATTTATGAAGCTTGGGTTTCTGTACAGAAGAAGGAAAGAGGGGAGGAGGAGGAGTAAGAAGAAGAAGAAGAGACTCAACAAGAAGACTAACAGGAGTAAATAAAGGAAGAAGAAGCAATGAACAAGGTTGAGTCGGTGGCCATATCGTCATATATTTATATATGTACATATGGACAACTAGACTACAGGTTTGCTTCCAATCGTTTTCAGTTAGTAGAGAGAGAGAGAGAGAGAGGGGTTGGGAGCTCTCCGGGTTGTAGAAAAACGAGAAAGGAGAGAGAAAGTAGAAACCTTAAAATTAGTTGGGAGAAAAGACGCATGTGTCCCCTACTTTCTACCTAAGCCTCCGTATAACTCAAAAGAGATTTTATCTCTTGCCTGTCTCAGCTTTTCTTTTTTTGTCGTTTTGTGGTTTCTCTCCACCGATCGCCATTAACAATTCTTTTCCTGTTATACGGTGAAAAAAAAGTGAGAGGTCTTGACAAGGCAAAAATGGTCAACTTCCAGAGTATTTCCTGTCGTTACCCGGAAGGGATACATTTGTCCTTCTGGTTTCTTCTGGGGCTACTGTAGACCCAACACCCAAGGACGTAAGCCACTGTTCTATATTCATAGATACTAGGTACCCCATGTATTCAGAAGCCAACACGTGTACAACCTACACTCGTCTCGGTGGACTGGTTCGGCTACAGCCGGGCCGGGTCTGAGACCACGAGAGCCTCTACAACCAAAAGGGTAAACCCGTTTACTCTGGCTCGGCCCGTTTATTTCTGTTGTCCGTCAATTTGTTACATTCAAGCCTAGGGTGCAATATGGGACCAATACTTAATACTTTACGGGTTGGTATCGAGCTAGGAAAGGGACCAGGGACCCGGATCTCATTTAGCAAAATTCAACCCGGGATAAAATTGTGAAATAAAGGGATCAGGGACCAGTACTTAATACTTTTTTTTGGGTAAAGACTGATTAGGGTCATTGAGTCTATTGATAATTGATCTATCCATTCAAGTGAAAACTGTGAAATAATTATTAAGATAAGCAGCATGGATGAAACCCATCCCTCTATTTCTATCACATTTTCTACAAAGTTTAAAATTTCGTCTCATTCCGGCCCATATGTATCGTATCGATGAATCACCGTATAAAAAATATAGGTTTTTGAGTAAGAAGATCAAAATATAAGTGAGGTTGAAATGGGTATTGTGGGAATTGTCAAGGCATAGGGGGGCCATGGCCCCCTCTGCCACCCTGGTTCTGCCCTTGTCGGAGTGTATCATACTTTAAACCTTAGACTCTCACCTCTTACCTCTCTTTAGGTTCTGAATCTTAAACTCGTAGCTTCGTATTGGTCCTTCTCTGTTTACTTGAAACAGCTTCTTTTGTTCCCTTCATAGGACGGAGGTTGATATATTGGAGTTTCCTTTCTTGTTGGGTTTTGAAGCAATGAAGAGTTTTTGGAAACTTTGGATGGATTTCTAATGCACTAGATCTCCTTTATATATGACGTTCTTAGGAGATGAAAGCCATGAAGAACGACCAAGTAGTCATTGACTTGTGCAGGGGAGGACAAGACCAAGCATAAACGCTTGCTTGTTCATTGACACAACTACTTACATTCATTCATCATTTGTGGACTTCATTCGTTGAGCCTCAGCTGAAATTCTCATTCATTGACACAGAGTTCCACTGTCGTCTTCTTTTCTTTTTGCCCATTTTTTTCAAAGGGATTATTGGTATCATAAATGGGAGTTCAAATCTGCTCCCGACAAGGAGGCACCCCACAACATTCCACATCACATCCCTACCGTGTATTGGGAACATCTCTCAATGATACATCATTTCTAGTACAATCATCGGGAGATGTTCCCAATGCATGGCGGGGATGTGCTGTGGGGCATCCCCTTATGGGGCACAGATGTGAACTCCATAAACGAAATTCCTGATTGTTCAGCCCCATTAAGGGTTCAGGCTCGTGGACCACGGACCACCTACAAGGTGGTTCATCTCATCAATGATGGACATAGGACCCCCACCCCCACCTGCTTCTTTCTTTGCACAGTTGATAAGCCTGCAACTTACAACCTGAAATGGTAACTGATTAGGTTCAGTGTTAGTGGCTGTTGAAATTTCAACCTCACGTCGTCTCTAGATTGCTGGAAGACATTCCAACTTTATTAATCATAACCCATTTGACCCATTTGGGTATCGGAGGAGGACAATCTTATTCTGACACAAAACTGTAAAACCAATCAGTGGGAAGGCTTCAGAGTTGGGAGATAAACCAACCCGGACTCCTTAAATCCACCAAAAAATAAACAACTAATGAGACTGAGTTAGAGGACTAAACTTAACCTATTTTCAGTGAAAGGTGAAGCCAGTTTTAGACTTAATCAGAGACAGAGTTATCAAGGACCACTCTGCGATAACTTGGTCATAAAACATGACAATGACCAAAATGGGTAATAATGAAGATAGATAGATAGATAGTTTCCTTTAATAAATTTAACCAGTAGCAGTAGATCGAGTCAAAATCGAGATACCCTCCACCCCACCCCACACAAGTTGCAGACTTGCAGTCCAACAACTCTTGGCGTGCAAATAATAGGGTATGGGCCAGCCACGAATGAAAGAAGTGGGCCCGGCCATCGGCTGAACCTTCACGATGGGCCTAGTCAGTGAAAAAGGAGTCCGGTACATAGGCAACTTTTTGTGTTCGTCAAGGACAAGAAAATGTTCCCAAAAGAAAAACAGAGCATACTGACCCCCCCACCCCTCCCCCTCCCCCTCCCCAAAAAGAAAAGAAAAGAAAACCAACCCAATGCTTCTAGTAAAAGGAACTAAAAAATTAAAACTAAATAAAGCCGTGAAGGAGAAACCAACAAAAGAATACAAATGTTGGGGAGGACTGAGTGGGTACAGAAGTAACAGAACTAGAGCTACAGAGATGCGTTAATTATTTGGGTGGGAATTATACTAAATACGTGTATTTTGATTCTTTATTATTACTCAAACTCTTGGCCTATTGATGAGAAGTAATCCGTAGTTCCCAATTGCATCGCTCTGCTCTGATGAAGTCAATAGCAGGTAGCAGCATAACTTTGAGAAAACTGGGGCCTGGGGGGAGGAGGAGAACCATAGGCACAAAGACGAAACCATGGCCCGCACACAAGCATGAACCACCCCCCACAAGTGGCCTAGCATGAAACTTCATGCTCCCTCCGGCATCAACATATCATGTGCAGACGTGTTAAGGAGGCTTCATTGGTTGGGAAATCTTCTAGGCCAAATATGTCTCTCTCTGGAACTCTCTTTGTGTGAATATGTTTGGTGTAGATGCTTTAAGCATCTGTGATTGGGACCAATGATTTCAATCACAACCCAGAATGTCAACCCTGGTAATGTTTAAGGGAGCTAGAATGAAGGAATCATACGGCTGGCTGATGGTGGTGGGTGTGCACTAGGATGAAATTTGGATTTTGGAATATTTTCTTCACTATATTTGCATTTTGGGTGGTGCTGGTGCTGGTGCTCTTTCGTCCCTGAGATTCTGCCAAAAAAGCAACTGCTTTCCTTTTATAAGTATCAAGTTTTAGATAATGCAAAGCTCCTGCCATAAAAAGATGCACTTTCTGCCATTAAATCAGCAGCAGTAGCCAGTAGGTCGTTTAAAATTAAAGCTCATGTACCCCTAATAGCTTCTGGTCACATGCATTTCAATGTCTTGTAGCTAATGGTAGTATCTGTCCATGGTTTTGATAAACTCTTCTGGTAAGGCAGAAATTTCTGGAGAATATACTCAATGAAAAAGAAACCATCAGTACACTCTTGACTATAGCAAATTCTGCATGCAAGGAATGGGTAGAGATAGCGTATCTTGCGCAGGTTTCCCTCCTTTTCCTCTTTCTTTCTATGGATATAGACATATAGTATTCCCTGTTCATGCTCCATGGTTAAATATTTGGACACTATTAACTGATTTTTCTTCTGCTCTATGGTCTTTATCCACTTTTTCTCAGCTGTTAATAATGGCCAATTTTAATTTCATAAAACATGCCAACTTTTTCGAGTACCACATTATATTTTAACTATAAATTTAAGCATTTATTTATAAGTACATGGCCTGTTTAACTGTTGTTATAACAATTACAACAGTGGATAACAGTCCAGATTCCCCACCATTATGCCCTACTTTCTATAATTTAGAGCCCGGAATGATTCTTTTCTTTTTATTTCTACAAGTACTTAAATTTTAACCACATTTTAAGTCAGCTTAATCAGAAAGAGGGCTTAAAGATAACCATTGATATAGAACTATATAAACATTCATTTTCAACTAAATATATGGAAAAGCAAATCTCCCTCTATACAAGCCTAACAAAAACATTGCAAAATTTAACAGATCCAGAGGAACCCTCGGTAATCTTAGCTCACATAGGTAACATGGAATTAATATAAATAGTTTACCTATAAAAAGTAATATAAATAAAGTATCTAGATACAATGAGCTTAAGTTAACAGCATATATGGTATAATCTACAAAAGGATTGTTGGTCTGTCATGAGATGTCCACGGTGATATTATGGAGTCCTTGTTCATCAGGCGAGAGCATACTGATAAGCTACTGCATGTGGCAGTCTGCATCCAAGGGAATGAAATAAGCAGCAGCATTCTTTTCTTTTTTCGGTTGGTCATTAGGTGTTTCAGGTAGCCTGCAACCAGTATATTGCAGTGGGTAGGTGGTAGTGGACTCAAAGTCTCATCCTGCCCACTAAAGAGGGACACCCTTTACAACTTGCTTGACAAGGACTATGGGCATCTTGTATTTTCTTTTTTTTTTAATGATAAGTATCTTGTAAATATATCATTTATGTAAAATCACTAAAGATCTGCAGGAAATTGGTAACTAGTTGATAAAAAATAAATGAAAAGAAAAGAGGAGAAAACTTCTTTTAAATTTGGTTATCTGATATGCTGAATATATCTATGAAAACTTGAGTTCCATCTCCAGGGAATATCAAGAATATTAACAGCCAAGTTGGTGAACTTTCACATTTTAGCACCGAGACTTAAATTAATTAAACCTTTGCCTCCTGTTATATATTTGTGTACAAAGAGATAATTCCTGGTGAGGCCAGATAAAATTGTCAAGGGTTGATAAAAGTCACAAGCCAACTTAGTTATCCAAGAATAATATCACAAAATTAATTCAGAATAATACTATTGTCTTAAAACAAAGATTAAGGAGATGTGAATGATAAAACAGATGAAAGTTTCAGAAGAATGAAGTTTGTACAGTCAAGGCATGGTAACAAAGATTACTGGCATGTTAGTCTACAGAACACGGAAAGGATTGCAGAACTCAGAAAATAGCATGGGTCATTACCACATTATTGCATTTTATTCTTTCCAAGGGAGCAAGATTGACAACTAAATGACCTCCTTGGACATCCTTCATAATATATATATATATATATATATCATCATCATCATCATCATCCAGTCTGCTAAATGCAAGCCTGCAGACATAAATCCAAGTTTATGGCAGCAATATGGATACATGTTACAAAAAACACAAGGAACAACGAGATGCTGTAGTTAGCAAATAGTGGCACTCAGAATCTAGTCATATAAACCACATGAAAGAGAGACAGTCGTGTGTGCATTGCACATGCAAAGGTACAGCGGAAGCAGCATAACAAATGTTGTTAAACCCTCTGTTATATAAAGAGGTTTATAATCCAGTGGTGAAGAAGACCACATGCGAAACCACGTATGAGCAGAGAAGCAAGAAAAATATGGAGTAGGATCTGGACTATAGACATGTTCCAACAAATCAATTTTTGATGCTCTGCCCAAGTTTGTCCTATAGTGGGCCTAAAACCCCAGCACAAAACTGTTGGATTTTAATCTCATAAGAGATTAAATCCAATGGGTTTGATTGGTCAATTACATGAGAAATTGCACCTGCACACTTTATTGAAAAATTAGCTTCTCTTACAAAACCCAGTTTTGAACTTGTCC